GAGAGAAATATCAGTGCATGGTTGCCTCTCATGTGTGCCCCGCTGGGAACTGGCCTGCAACCCAGGCGTGTGCCCTGACTGGGAAGGGAACTGCAGTCCCTTAGTTCACAGGCCTGTGCTCAATCCACTGAGCTACACCAGCCAGGGCTACCTAATCTTTCTAAGCCACAGTTTTCTCTTCTGTAGCATAGGGGAAAATTTTCTACCACGTGGAGACATCACGAGGACTGAGTTAGAAAATGTCAGTACTCAGTAATAGCCATCGTGCATATCCTGATCTCCCTGCTCCCACCCAGATAACTCAAAATTTATATTCCAATTAGAATAATTCAGCTTTCCACTTGCACACCAAACCACACTTTTGGGAAAAGGAAGCAGTGGGGAGCACTTTAATTTGGAAATGAAGGATATTGTCTTTGCTTTTAGTAATTGACCCTTTCAGTTGCATCAGGAGAACATTTTTAGAGAATGATAGTAAGGCCAAGAAGGGAGACCACTCAACTTCCTGTTTCCTTGTTACCAAATGTTATTTGTCCAGTATGTCTGTTAGCTTTTTCCCATTGTTTAAACATGAAGTACGTAGGGTGGAAAACACTCGGTTTTATGTCCTCTATACTAGGACATTTTTTTAAAGATTTTATTTATTTATCTTTTAGAGGGAAAGGGAAGGAGAGAGGGAGAGAAACAGCAATGTATGGTTGCCTTTCGTGCGTCCCCTGCTGGGAATTGGCCTGCAGGGAACTGGCCTGCAACCCAGGAATGTGCCCTGACCGGGAATCGAACCGCGATTGTCTGGTTCGCAGGCCCGTGCTCAATCCACTGAGCTACACCAGCCAGGGCATTTTTCTTTTTTTAATATTTTATTTTTTAATCTTTAAAGAGAGTGGAAGGGAGGGAGAAAGAGAAACATCAATGTGTGATTGGCTCTCTTGCGCCCCCTACTGGAGACCTGGCCTGCAACCCAGGCATGTGCCCTGACTGAGAATCGAACCAGCGACCCTTTAGTTGACAGGCAGGCATTCAATCCACTGAGCCACACCACCCAGGGCTAAACTAGGACATTTTTCTATAAGAAAATCATATCTGCCTATTCTCCCCTTTAATTAAGTGGAAAATACTTCCTGTCTTTTTTCCAATAACATAAAGAAAAAAATTACCCAGTACTCCACCCACTACCTGAAATTCTTACTTCTTCTTCACAAATTATCTTTCATTCATTTCATTTCAAGATAGTGAAATAGACCCAGAATGACAGAGTTCCTTTTCCAGTACCTCAAAAGCCCCAAATTTAAAGGCTCAATGTAAGGATAACAATCAATCTCCATCCTTGAGGGCTCACTGTGTGCCAAAGATATGCCAATCTCAGTAACTCTCCAAGGCAGCCAAGGAGGTGGTTCCTGGGCTTATGCCCACCTTACACATGAGGAGAAAGAGGCTCAGAGAGATGGAGTGGTGCCCTGGCTGGTGTGGCTCAGTGGATTGAGTGATTGAGTGCTGGCCTCTAACCAAGGAGTCGCCAGTTCGATTCCCAGTCAGGGCATATGCCTGGGTTTCGGACAAGGTCCCCAGTGAGGGATGCGAGAGAGGCAACCACACATGGATGTTTCTCTCCCTTTCTCCCTCCCTCCCCCTCTCTCTAAATAAATGTCTTTGAGAGAGAGAGAGAGAGAGAGAGATGGAGCAGGAGAAGGTAGTGGGAGAAGAATGAGCAAGAGCCAGGTGGGCAGTGGGGCTTCACACACCTGCCGCCCAGCCTCCTAACACCTGTGCTCACGCAGGGACCAGCATTACATTGGGTGTCCTGTTCTACCTGATGCAGGCCCATGAGTTCCTGCAGGAAGGCATGACCTACAGGCTGGGGCGCAGCTTCTACCTGGCGTGGATGGGCATCTTCCTCTTCCTGATGACCGGTCTGGGCTGGGATGGGGTTGGCTGGGGGCGTGGTTCCAGGATACAGGTGGGGGCCGGGCGGGGAGGCGTTCTGGATGAGGGTGGGGTTGGGTTCGGGTGAGAACCTGGACTGGGGGCAGGTTAGGTTTGCGTTTGAAGATGGGGGTGTAGGAAAGTGTAGAGATGGGCCCCGGGACAGGGTAGTGGGTGAGGGGGAATTGGGGAATGGGGTTGGATTTGGACGTGGGTTAAGCACAGTGTAGGGAATGGGGTTTGGGGACAGGGTAAGGGGTGTAATTGGGTTTGGGGAGAAGACTGCGGTCCGGGTTGGGCTGGTGAGATCTACGCTTCACCCTTCTGCTTTCTTCCCCTCCCCTCCACCCCCCAGGTTTTTTTTCCTTCCTGAACTACATTAAATTCTGGTCCCTCCTGGCACTCCACGCCATCTGGACTTAGGATGCGAGAACGACCCTACTTCCGGCTGCTGGCCCGCCCGGCTCCCTGCCAAGTGCCTGACCACCCTGCTCACTGGCCCCCTCCCCCCACCAAGACTCTTGTCCTTTTTCATCCCCCTCAGAACCTCCCCCATTCAGATTACTAAGCAGAACTTTTAAATCTGTATTTTTTGCCCAGAAAATCCTTTTGGCTCAGTACCTCAAAAGTGTTCCTGGAGCTTGCGGTCCCTCCCTGGGGCCATCCCTTGGCCCTCAAGGGCAAAAGGATGGAACTCAGGGGTAGAGGTGAGGGAAGGGACGCAAGAGAAAGAGACCTGGTGCACAAGGTCAGCAGAGAATTGGGCCAATGGTCCCTGGTATACAGCTGGTGCTCAATCAATGTTCATTGAATATCTGATTCTCCCTAAGGCTTTTGGGCTTCATCCTTTAATTATTTTTTTGTAATTTATTGATTTGAGAGAGAGAGAGAGATTTGTTGTTCCACTTCTTTATGTATTCATTGGTTGCTTCTTGTATGCCCTGATCGGGAATTGAACCTTCGACCTTGGCATACTGGAACGATGTTCTAACCAACCAAGCTACCCAGACGGGACTCAAATTTGTTCACTTTTAACACAGAGTGAGCTGTAATATGCGCCAGACCCTGGATCTATAGCAATGATCAAACTGGCCCCAAATCCTTGCTTTTATGAAACTGACATTTCAACTGGGAGGCAAAAAAAAAAAGTATATATATATAATTTTATATAACTTAATTGATATAATTTAATATAAATATAAATATATATGTAAACAAACAAAGCGTTAGGTATGTTAGAGGACCCGAGCTATGAAGAGAGATAAAGGTGCGTAAGGAAGATCACCAGTGTGGGAAGGAAGGGGTTCTGTTACACAGAGCAAAGGTGTGGGGCTCTCTGCGAAGGTGACATCTGAGCAGAATCAGGACCGAAGAGACGAAGAGAGCATGGGGTCAGGCTGGGGAGAAGAGTTCCAGGCAGAGGGAACAGCGAATGCCCAATGTCCGCGGCCGTTTCCTAGTAACCAGGGAAACCAACGTGCAGATGTAGCCTGAGCATGGGGGAGAGAGGAGACAGGGGCGGAGAGAGGGGAAAGGGGGCGGGGGGGGAGGGTCATTCTCCGCCTTGTGACCACAGCGAGGATTTTACTTCACTCTGCGAGAGCACTGGGTAGAAAATGCCTCGCTCTCCTCAGCCAGGAGCCTGCGTTTCTTCCTTTCACTTCAGACGACAGACTTCCCGGGAGGAGTCTGCCAACTAGAAAGGAAAAAAAAAAAAAAAACCCAAATGACCAGGAGACCCAGCTAAACGAAATGTGTTCTGTTCATACAGGGGAATACAAGTGTGTGTGTGCGCGCGCAAGTGTATGTAGCTATAAAGAATCCACACTAAACTGGTGACGGTATACAGAAGTTTCACGGTATTTTTATCTTTGAAAAAAATGTTTGCAATGATGTCCGTTGAAAGACACGCCTGAGATCTCGAACCCTACCGAGTATCCAAGCCCCCCGGGTCTTCGACGATCTAAACCGGGAAATGAGCCCCCAAATCCGGTGCTGCCTCAGCCCCAGGGGTCCTGTTCTCAGAGTCTCCTCCCACGGTCCCGGGAGTCGGGGACCCCCAGCCTCCTCCCCCTTCCCCAGAACCAAAGTCTAACAAGCCCGGGTCCGCGTTCCACCTCAAACTCTAAAAGTCTGCACCAAGTGGGCTATTTCCTAGATCTCCGCCCCTGTCAATCTCAGCTCTGGCCCCACCTCCGACTCTGTGTGGGGGTGGGACTTTGTCTGGGTCAGCCCCGCCCTTTGATCCACAGCTGTCAAACTGGCAATTCCAGCTGCTTCCCTTTCTGGCCCCGCCCACACTTGGGGTCCTTTCCCTTCGCGGGCCCCCTTAGGAGCCATCTACAGATTTGCCTGACGCTCCTGACGAGACAACGGGAGGCGACATTTTCTTGATTATTTTTTCTATGCCTCCAGACACAACGTCTGACGTTGTCTGGAAGATTCTAATGGGGGGAGACACTGTCCGGTCCCCAAGCAACAAAGCGGAGTTTCCGGTGCCGGCGAATACAGTAGACGCCTCTGGGCGGAGTCCCGGTTGGCCGTGGGGCGGGCCTTGCGAGCGGCGCGCGCTATAAGAACAGACACGAGGCTACCCGCATACACTTTGAAGAAAGTGAAGGTCTGGTGAGGTTCTCTGAAGTTTCTTCCTGCGGCTTTGGGGCCTGGGCCGCCCGTGTAATGCGGTGCCAGGGGCTACGAGGGGGAGGCCTCGTTGCCTCTTGGTTGGGATCACGGCCTTCGTAGCGGCCCTGCGCGCGCTCGGAGGCCAGGCCGGGGGTTCCCCCCGCGGGGAACGGCGTCTGCAGCGGGTGGTGCCTTTTTACGGGTGTTCACAGCGGGGAGGACTGTTGCCGCCGGAGCCAACGGGGGCCTCCGGGGCTAGCCCTCCTTTGCGCCGCAAACGGGCCGCGCCACGTCTGCGGCCCACACTGCCGGGCTGCGCCATCTTGTTCATCTTTCTCGGTGGGCGGGTGGGCAGGGGAGCGCGCGTGACAGCGAGTTCTGAGATTTTTCCACCCGGTGCTAGATACACGTGCTTCCCTTAATCCCAGGAGGCTGGCATTTTTTTTGCAACTTTGACCAAAGACTTTGGGGTCATTGCGGGGGGAGAGGGTACAGGAGTTACTAAGGGAAAAATGGGAGTGGGGTCTCAAAAGTGAATTCCCGCTTTGTTTCTGAGAAGCAGATAGAAATGCTCTTTGGAGAAAGTAAATGAGGCCTGCGCTCATCTCGATTCCTGTGTGCTCGCAGGAATCATTTTGACATAGTTACTCCACAGAGTTCGTTAAATGCTAGTTCTGGGCTAATCGGCCCTTAGGTCTTGGACTTCCCGTCTCCTGTCTGCTGAGCAGTGCCACGCCCTGCCCACGGCTCGCAGCCTGCGGGCAGCGCTAGATTTTCCATCTCCCTGCGGGGACCCAGCCAGAACGCCCTGAGCTCAGTTTCTTCACAGTGGTCACGTCATCTTGTCTGCATTGTTTCTGCTTGGTGTTTTGAAAGTAAATTTATTATTTCATCCAAAAGAGTTACCGCTTATGTGCCTAAAATAACCTTTCTACTGGGCAACGGTGCCATTGTCACCCCTCATGTTTCTGGTCTCTAGATGCTGTTAGCATTGTCTCTGTCCCTGAAGGTGAGTGGCCTCGGGGCCTGGTGGAGGACAGGCTGGGGCCCCCATGATGTTCAGCACTGGGCTCTGATCACCTGTGAGGACACAGTGCCCCCCAGGACCTTTGACACCTGGGGGTCTGAGGGGCCCCGGTTTGGATGTTCTCTGGATGCCCAGACTGGTTCCTTCGCCCACCCTCACCAAGTCTTTCTTGTGTTACAGGTTTCTCTCTTCAAGCATCCAGAGCCACCCACCACCACCCTGTCTGGGTAAGAACCCTTGCTCCCATTCCCTGACCCACCCAGGGGGTGGGTCACATTTTGGATGGTTTCACATGTCCCTGGGACCTAATTTATATGCCAACCGTCACGTTCAATATTTAGATACAAACCCCAGCTCTGCTGTTTGTGGGTTTGAAGGTGTCAGTCAAGCGAATGTGTTCCTGAGCCTCAGTTTCTGTGTCTGTACAGCCCCCACTGCCTGTTGGGGAGCAGGCGAGTCTGTCCTCTAGGGAGGGAGGGAGGGAAAGAAAGAAACATCCATGGGTGGTTGCCTTTTGCATGCTCCCCCTGGGGACCTGGCCCGCAAACCCAGTCATGTGCCCTGCCTGGGAATCGAACCGGCGGAACCTTTGCTTGGCAGGCCAGCCCTTCATGCACTGAGCCGCACCAGTCAGGGCCGTTTGTTTGTTTGTCTGTCTGTCTGTCTCACAGCTGGCAGGGGAGGCAGGCACAAAGGGTTGAATCAAGTGAAATACACAGGCTCAGAAAGGGAGAAATATACATGTATTTGGAGTGGGAGACTAACCAGAAGCCCAATTTTTCAGACTTAGCGGAAGAGACAGAATGGCTCCCAGCTTTATCTCTCAGTGCGGTAGGGTACACTGGATACAGTGAATCTTTCAGCCCCACTGAGATAGCAACCCATGAGGCAAATGCACAAAAACAGATACAGTTCTTAACGCTCCTTTGATTGACACAGTAGCTATTGTTACAGGGACACAGTGTATCTGGCAAATGTTTCAGGAGTGTTTCAAAGACCCAAATCATAAAATGGGCCTGGATACATGTTACCCAATATGAGGCACATGTTCTCAGCGCTGTTCCTTGGGTGTCAGCAGCACAGAACACTGGCCAGCTACCGTGAGATCAGACAAAAAGTGTTCTCCGGGTTCTCAGCGGCCCTTCACGGAGGAGAAACCGCTTTGTGTGGTGAGCTCAGGTTCCGGGGCCCTAATTGTCTTTCTGGTGGGCTGACGCTCTTCGCCCAGGCATCTCTGCAGGGCTTTGTACATTCATTGCCTTCTGAGGGACTTTCTGGAAAAGTGGAGAAAGGAAGGTGCCACCTGGGAGCAGGGGAGAACAGAATGTCCGGGGCAGGCTGGGGAAGAGGGTCTTGGGATGTGTAGTGATTTCTAAGGCATCCTGGTCCAACAGGCACTCTGTTCTGTGTTGTCCAGTCCAGTAGCCACTGGCCATGTGTGGCTCTTGAAAACCTCCAGTGTGGCTAGTGCCCCTGGGAACTGGACTTTTTTAAGTTTATGTAAATTTGAATAGTGTCTTTGTCTTTTGGACAGCACCTTCCTACCCAAGCCTTGGGTTTAAGTGTTTCTGCCTGCTAATGAGTAGCTCACGCCACTTTTTGTAACTCACCAGATCCTCCCTGGCTCCCAGAAGGTTCTGGTGACGCAGGATCCCCAAGTTAGAGAGCAGGGAAGAGCGATGCAGGACTCTCCCACCCAGAGCTAGAGGCTTCGTAGAGTTGGGTGGAGAAAGCAGGCGGGAGGTGTGGCGGAGCCTCTTCCGGCCGCCTGGGGGCTGAGCCACAGGAGGCGCCCCCTTCCTCTCGCTGGGTTCTTGTCCGTGGGGGCAAATCTATGTTCATTTTAAGCGCTGGGGCTTAGGGCAGCTGCTGCAGGTCACACAAGAAGTGACACCCAGAGTTAAGCCACTGAGAGGTGGCCATGGGGAGGTGTGGTGTCAGAAAGCAGCAGGCTGGGGGGGGGGGTGCCTCTTTGCAGCTCAGGGGCCAACTGTTGGTCATTTTTCCTGCCTGGATCTCTGAGTTCTCGTCTGTGTCATCTGTGTAGCGCTCTGGGCAAGGGTTCTGGGACCTGGGTGAGGCTGGGGACTACGGCACTGGGGCCCCCATGATGTCCAGCACTGGGCTCTGACCTTCCCTGAGGACATGGTGCCCCCTGGGACCTTTGACACCCAGGGGCTGAGGGGCCCCAGTTCTGGGGAGGGGTGGATGGGAGTGTGGCTGCCCTGCACCCCACTCATCTCATGCCTCACCCCCTTTCCTGCAGGCAGTTCCTCCAGGAGTGGAAGGGCCAGTCCGTCCCTCGGTAAGAGCAGGACAAGCTCCCTTGTACAGTACTTGGAATGTATACGCTGTGGTGATGGTGGGAAGGCCAATGCTGAGCAGTTAGGCCGGGCCACGGAGTTGGTGGGGGCAGTGAGGGGAAGTGCACAGAGGAGGGGCTGGGGCGTCGCGGGGAGACATGCTGAGTCGAGGTCCGAGAAGGGCTGAGCTTGGAGCCCCTGTGATGTCTAGCACTGGGTGCTGACCTCCCATGAGGACACTGTGTCCCCCTGGGACCTTTGACACCCGGGGGTCTGAGGGGCACCAGCTCTGGGCGGGCCTTGGGGTCTCTACCTGTTCCCCCCACCCGACGACAGCTCTCGTGGCGGCGTCCCTCAAACCGCCTGCTGTTCCCTGCAGGGCAGCCATGACCGCGGCCGTGGCCAAGAGAGCGCTGGGGCCCACCCAGGCCCGGCCGGGGGATGACTACTACAGGTACACCGAGCTCCTGGCCATCTCGCAGCGCTTCAGGCAGAGCCCCAGCGAGCCCATGGCCGCCTGGATCCTGCGCGTGTACGACCAAGGCGGCTCGGCCCTGGCCCTGACCGCCCAGGAGCTGACGCTGCTGGGTACCCTGACCAGCGACGCCGTCTTCAACTACCACTGCAAGGGCCTGCAGGGCAGCTGCAAGGTGCTGCTGGCCTGGCTGCTGCTCGCCTGGCGCCAGCGCTGGAAGTCCTTCCTGCACTTCGAGGGCGCCGAGCTGCCCTTCCGGCCCTGGGCCACCATGGAGGAGGGCATCCAGCTGGTGCGCGAGCTGGGCATGCTGGCCTGGGTCTACCACGAGCCCTCCTCGCCCCCCACGCCCGAGCAGCTGCCTCGGCCTGCACCCGAGGACTTGCCCTTCACGCACCACCTGCAGCGGCACCTGCTGATAGCCGCACCCCCTGAGCTGCGGGTCACACTGGTCAGCGTGCTGGTCAAGGGCATGACGGTGCTGGAGGCGGTGATGCAGATCCGGGCCATCGCCGACATCGGCCTGCTCTGGCGCCACAATCAGCCGGGCCCCGCCAAGCTCACGTTGGGACCCAACCCGACGCGCAAGGACCTCCTGGCCTGGCTCCTGAGCCACGGCGTGCCCAAGGAGAAGGTGGACAAGCAGCCCACCAAGGTCCTCCTGGAGCTGTATGTCAAAGAGGCCAAGGGCTGCCAGAGCCACCTGGCCCACATGCTGGGGGAGGAGCAGCCCGCGCCCTACCCTGACCAGGCCTGTGGGGAGGAGCAGCCCATGTGCCCCGACTAGGAGCGGGGGGCCCGGAGCCGGGGAGCCAGCAGGGCGGGGAGTGGAGTCCTCGGTCATGACGCAAAGCCCTGAGCATCCCTGGGGTGGACTGAGGGGCCTCACACCTGCTCTTGAGCTTCCTGGGGGCAGGTGACCCCCACATAGTTTTTGAGGAGCCCAGAAGGATGTGTCCGGGCCCCGAGCCGTGCTGTGAGCATCACTGGCCAGAGCTGGTGGCGGGAAGCAGGCTGGCTGGGCACACAGTGGCTCCTTGGAGGCCCTGGCAGGTGCACATTTCAGCCCAAATGGTGTGATGGGTGGGCACCCACCCCTCCGCCCCACGGGCCCCCAACGCACTGCAGGCCCAGGGGGGAGGCCCCCTGGGCTACACCATGAAGTCTGTGCCCTTTTTCCTAAGGGATTTTTGTGTATTTGTTTTTAATGCATTGTTTTTACTTAATATTTTAAGCATATTATGCACTTTGGAACCCTCTTTCCTCTTGTCATGGTTTTTCTCTTAAGACTGTTTTGTAGCTCAGTGGGTTGAGTACTGACCTGTGAACCAAAGGGTCAGCGGTTTGATTCCCAGTCAGGGCACATGCCTGGGCTGTGGGCCAGGTCCCCAGTGGGGGTCGTGCAAGAGGCAACCAAACGACCTGTCTCTTACATCGATGTGTTTTCCTCCCTTACTCTCTAAAAATAAGTAAATAAATTATCTTTTAAAAAAGAAGCTTATTCCATGATGCCTTTCCTTTCTGAAACAGACTTGCTCTTCGCCTGGGGCAATGACAGGCCAGCCTTAGCCAGTTTCTCCAGCAGTGCTTGTGGCTTCTGGTCAGCGTCGGTCCTTTGCGAGGACAGACTGCAGCCCTGTCAGTCGGTGCTGAGCACCCCCGGGGAGGTGGGAGAGGCACTCGCATAGCCCGTGCGGCCGCCTGCGGGTGGACCCTGGTGTTAACACACAACCCCCTGCAAAGGTGAACCCAGAACCCTCCTTGCAGGGACTGCACAGCAGCCGGGCTGGGGGAAGCCTGGCCCTCCAGGGACCGTCCCAGGGCGTGTGGAGGAGGCCCAGCCTGCAGCAGTCACTCAGCAGCAGGGCAGGGGCACCTGCCGGAGCTGGCTGGGTCCTCCCTGGACCTCAGCAAGAAGCTGGGTCTCAGCCCAGGACCCAGAAGGACACGGCCTTCCGTGGTGTGGCTGCTCCGCACCTCCAGGAACAGTGATGGGCAGGACACGGGTGGGTGTCTGGGGGCTCCCCAGGGACGGGTGCCCCTGGCGAGGCGACATTTAGGGCCCAGGGCAGAACCCCTGCCCTCAATGCGAGGAACCGGTCAGACTGGGGAAGGCTGCGTTGGGAGCCCCGGCCCTTTTCCTGTCTCAGTTGGTGGGGGGTACGGACCATGACTTCCCCAGTGGAGGTTGGGAAGGTCCTGGCAGCTGGAAGTGACTTCCAGCCACAATCCGCCCCCTCCTCTGACCCTCCAACGACCACTTGGAATGGGCACCAAGTGACAGGGCAGTGCCCGCTGCCCACCAGGCTGCCCCCTCCCGCAGTGTCATAAGTGGGGATGTTCACACGTTTGCGAAATGGGGCCACACATGGAGGACAAGGCCGCTCCAGCAGGAGACTTCCCCAGCCGCGGGGAGCCGGACCCGACCCACGGGGGTGGAGGGTTGAACACAGGAGCCCAAGTGCCGCCCCCAGAGCCCCAACAGCCCACCCCGCCCCCACAGGCCCTGAAGCATTACTCCCAGGTGTGCGGTTGCTTGTGGGACCACAATGCAGATGCAGCCTGTGTGACCGGGACCTGCACTGTGCATTTTACTTAGATGGCCTGAGAGAGGGGCACCAGCCACACCTCTGCCAGTTCCTGGAGACCCGTCTCAGAGGCCGTGGGTCTGAGGCTCTGAGTCCTGGCTCCGCCGGACGAGCCGGGGGCCCTGAGAGGCCACGCATTTGCCCAGAGTCACGCAGCCTCAGGGGCTGTGCCGACCGCCCAGCCTTGGGGCCAGCTCAGCCTCAGACTCTCCCTGCACCAGACAGGCCCGGCCCCGAACCCCCGAGGAGCAGACGTGCCTCTCAGCTCCGGGGCACTGGGCCTGGGCGTCGTGGGGCCCACAGCTCTGCCAGGCACCACGGGCACGTGGGCCCCTCACGTCACATGTCCACACCTGCAAATGACAGGTGCCCCGTGTCCTCACCCACTGCCGTCACGCATGTGGGGAAACATAAATGTGCCCAGACACATGCCTCACACTGGCACCTACGCACATACCAATACGGCCGCACGTGCCTGTCACACAGACATGCACAGACGCAGTGACGCACAGTCTCCCTGCACACATATGTTAAAAGTGCAGAAACAGCCCTGGCTGGTGTAGCTCAGTGGATTGAGTGCGGGCCTGGGAACTGAGGGATCGCGGTTTGATTCCCAGTCAGGGCACATGCCTGGGTTGCAGGCCAGGTCCCAGCAGGGGACACACAAGAGGCAACTATACAGTGATATTTCTCTCCTTCTCTCCTTTCCTTCCCCTCTAAAGATAAATGCACACACATGCGCACACACCCCCAGAACCGCTCTCGGCTGCCAGGCCGGGGAGCCCCCGGCGCCCCCCACGCGCGCCAGCGGACAGAGTAAGTCACGGGAGCCAGCGCAGCGGGTGAGCAGACATGTTGGGGTGCAGAGGCAGCGGTGGGGACGGGGTGTCCGGTTTGGCGGCTCACACGGGGTCTCCCCAGGCCCGCAGGCAGCCGGGTCTCCAGGCCAGCAGGCCCAGCCCCAGGCTGAGCGCCGCCAGCACGGCCACAGCCCCAGCCAGCAGGGGCACCACGGCGGCTGCGGGGAGAACGGGACGCGTCAGTCTCGGGACCATCCCCCTCCCGCCCCACCCCGACCCCGAGGCCTCACCCGTGGGAGCGGCAGGCTGGTGGGAGCCGTGGCAGGGGACCCCGCGAGCCGGAGGCCGGGCCGGGGCGGTCAGCTGGCGGAAGCGGCCCAGCGGGCAGGGCGCTGGGCACCCGGGGAGGCCGAGGCTCAGGGGCGCGCCGGCGGAGTCGTTGCGGTAGAACAGAGAGACGGTGACGTTCCTGCGGGGAGAAAGGAGGCGGTGGCCGGCGGGCGCCTGCTCGCCTCCCTGACCCCCGACCTTCAGTCTGGAGAAGCGCGCATCCGAAAGGAGAACAGGCCTCCCGCCTGCCGCCTGTCCAGCCACCCGTCCAGCTCCCCATCCCTCCTCCCGCCTGAGCCGTCCGCCCCCCACCCCCGCTCCTCACCCCTCTTCTCCGTCCGGGTCCCCGAGGTGCCTCCGGAACTCGAAGCCGAGGCAGGCGGCGTAGGGCGGGGTGTGGCCGTCGTAGAGGCCGAGAGCGCCCTGGAGGGCCAGCAGGGTGCTGTCGTGCTGCCGGCGGATGGGAGCTGAGCCGGCTCCTCGCCCGGTGCCCTCCTTCCCCCCAGTGCCAGCCTCGTGCATCTCGCAGCCTCCTCCCAGATGCGCCCCCCACCCCCAACCTGCTCACCCTGGAGGCGGCCCTGGTCCTCATTCAATAAAGATTGGTCAAACGGACCCAAAGGAGATTGGACACCTCCGTGGAATGGCCTGCCCTGCCAGAAAAGCTAAATTCTCTCTCCGAAGAACGCCCCCTCCTCCCTCCTTGCAGGAGCTATACCTCTAGCGTCAGAGGGTCCAAGAAGGTGGGATATGCGCCCCAAACCATTGGGAGGAGGGGCCTGGGAGACCCCCTCACCCCAATCGCCACGCCCCGCATCCCTGCGCCCCCACCTGGCCCCGGCCGCCTCCCTTCCTGAACACTCACAGCCGAGTACATGACCATCTTGAGAGGCAGCCCCAGGCGCTGGACCCGAGAGAAGTTGGCCAGGATGGCGTCCAGCAGGATCCCTGAGGGTGCAAAACTAGGGTGCTGAGATCGCCCAGAGGGAGGCGCCCCGGCCTCCGGGCCTCCCAGCCCCACAGCTCACCCCCTGTCAGCTGGGCCTTCTCTGCCGCCCGGGGTGGGCCCACGTGGGCCCCGATATCCAAAGCGGAAATCTGCGCTAGTGTCCGCAGGACGTCCGGGGAGGCCCAGGATGGGAGCGGGAGACCGTGGGCTCGCTGGGGAGAGACAGGGAGAGAGGACAGCGTGACTGGGATGTCCCGTCCTCTCGGTGGCTGTGCTCATTCCTCTGCAGCCCCCACCCCATCGGAGCCCCTCATGGGCTGGGTCAGGTCAGGAAGCTGTGGCTGGGGCAATTGTTATTAGTAATCACCGTCAGTGCCAGCCCAGGAGTCCTTATCTGAACCCCGGGCCCCAGGGGTGTTTCGGGATGCAGGCGTCTGGGATTTTTGGACTGGTCGGGTGGTGCTGAGACCGCAGGCCTCGTAACTCCCAGCGGGGCCCGGGGCAGCCCCTTAGTCCCACTGTGCAATTAGAGACAGTCCCCTGAAGCCGGGGGGACCAAGCCTGTGGGGGGCATCACGCATTTCAGGTCGGCTCCTGCTGCCTGGGTTGGGGTCAGGGCACTTCTCAGGCAAAGGAACCACGAGTGAAAAACAGGTCACTGGAGCCCGGGTGCTGGTCTCCCCAAGTGCCAGGCGCTGTTCTAAACTCATGGCAGGGATTGCCCTGTCTTAATCTTCTCAACAATCCCAGGTGGTGTTGGTCCCGGGGTCACCATTCCCGTCTTGCACACGGGGAAACTGAGGCACTAAGGGGCAAGGGACTTGCCTGGGGGGGACGGGGGTATGGAGCAGCAAAGCTGGGGTCTGAGCCCAGGTGCCCTTACACCCCCCGGCCGAGGGGTGGGGGGCAGAGGCTGACCTGGCACATCAGCGTGTCCAGAACCTTCCATGCCCTGCGGAGCGGCTCCCCAACCAGCGACAGCCCCGTGCAGTTCTCCAGGTAAGTCAGGAAGTCCTGCAGGGACCGGGCCAGGTAAGGGGGAGGGGCTGGGCCTCTCCGCCCCCTCTCCGCCCCTCCCGCTGCCCTGCTCACCGTCCAGCCCTCCAGGGCCATCTGGTACTCGGCAGCCTCCGTGGCCTCGCGTAGCAGCTCGCGGTATCGGGGACAACTGCGCGTGGGGAACCTCAGCAGCTGGGGGAAACTGAGGCTCAGAGAGGACAGCAGCAGGGCCAGGGTTGGGGGAGCCGGGGCTCGGTGGCCCTGGCTCTGGCGGTGCAGCCTGGGAACAGTGGTTCACCCACGCGGAGAACCCTGCCCTGGGGACGGCCTTGCTGCTCTGGCCCTCTCCTCGGGGCCTCTGCCTCTCTCCATCCCTCCCGCCCCCTGGCCTGGTCCAGGCCCCTGACCTTGTCCTCAGTGGCGGGCACTGTGTGTACGGGGATGGGCCTCCAGGCGGCCTCCGGGCGCCCCGGGGCGGCCTCAGGAAACAGCCCGGCCAGGTTGGCCTGCGCGCTCTCCAGCGTCCGATCGAAGTCTGTGCTGCGGACGTACACCTGGGGGCAGGGAGGGCAAGCAAGGGGACCACGGTCACGTGGGGACCACAGTCGGGGTCAGAGGTCAGCGGCAGGGGCAAACCAAAAGCTTGGGAGTCAAAGGTGTCCAGAGTCAAAATATCAGAGAAGAATTGAGTGCCTGAGCTTCAGTACTGGAAGTTGGGGTCAAGGGTCAGAGGTCAATGGCAGGAACAATCCAATTGGAAGTCAGACGCAGGGTGGGCATGTGGGATTAAGGGGGTCCACTGAGTCAATAAAAGCCAAAAAGGAAAGAAA